AAGTCCCTTGTGGTATTCATAAGCGCAATGTTAATTAATACTGCTGCGTAACGGGTTCGAACGATTGGGAGGCGAATGTTTATATCGCATGAGCTTCACGCGCCGGCCGTTCGCTATAGTAGTCGTTACGGACCTGAATACTACGCACGAGATTGCGTAGTAAACAAGCAGTGACGCAAAGCAGAACATTGTTTTCGTTTTCATTACAAACTTCAGTGTTTGGAGCTAGTTAGTGGTTGTACTCTACATGCCCACCATTCCCCATTCAACAGACATTCAGTGGAGCGTGAATGCTCAATCTTGAACACTGCACTTGACAATGACTGTTTTATTTATTGATCAGGATACTTTTATCATGTTTACCTTTTCTGTACATGTACGATCGGCAAAGAGCGACGGCACGGCATCCTTTTTAAGCCTCGGCCCCTTCGCTGACAAGCCACAAGCAACCAACACCTGTAGGTTTCGTTCGTAACTCTCCGGCGAAAAGTGATCGGAGCAGAGCTTCGATCTGGGGGTCGACGTCCAAGGATTTCCAAAGTCCACTCGTCGAACAGCGTTCACCCACACCTTCTCCAATTTCCGATCCGTCGGAAACTTGTGAAAAAGCACCTCCGGGTTGCGCAGCGGCTTGTTTGAGCAGCCCACAGCGCTTTAAGTTGTACTCGACATCTTTCGAGGAACAGCTGGGCAGTCTTGGGCGCACCGAGTTGCTCGCTAAAACGAGTCTAGGAGTCCTCACAGGCAAATAAACAAAAGGCTATACCGAAGCTACACGGGCTACAGGTAAAAGCAACGGCTAAACACGCAATTACAAGCCGAAGTAGCGGTAATAGCGGCACAAAGAAGCGCGCGCGACGGCTGCGCCGTGTGCCCGTCCGGAACGGAGGAAAAAAAGAGGACGGTGTTGACATCACGGCCCAATGTTGCTTTAGCGATCGGCAACCCGCTGGTCGCCCGCTAAGGAGCAGCGGCTCGCGGCGGGTCGCGTTTTTATTATCGGCATTAGTTCAGAATGCGGCGTCCCACGGACGTGAAATTTTGGCTGGGGTCGTATTTTGTGTCACTAAAGCGATACCAGTAATTTAATTCATTTTGAGTTTTGGCAGGAGTTGCCCTTTAAGACGGCACTTATTTAGGCTATACATAGATCATTCTTTAAGAAAGTACAACATCTCTACCATAAATAGCTTCGGCTACAGCGCGCTTCAAATGTGGCACAAACGATAGTCGTCAAAAACCCGTCGTCCTTCCTCGCCCCTTTGGGAATTTATTTCTTTAAAACTAAGCATGCCAGAACCTTGAAACAAACGGCATTGTCTTTCGTAAGGAACGCAGCACCGCGTGTAAAAGTTCAAGAAAAAAAAAATTACGAATGTACCTCACTACTTGAATTCAAATGAAACCCTCCGCCAGTCTTTCGAAGTTCGACGAACGTCGAACTTTTACCCTAAAAGTTCGAAGTTCATCGAACTTCTGACTTTTCAGGATTCGAAAGTTCGAAACTTTTCGAATTATCTTGATAAATAAGTTCGAAAGTTCGATATTCATCGAATTTTTTGGTTATTAAAGTTCGAAAGTTCGACAAGCATCGAACTTTGCAGCGCAATAAGTTCGAAAGTTCGAAAAAGATCGAATTTTTTAGCGTAATAAGTTCGACGGTTCGAAAAGCGTCGAACTTCTTAGCTTAACAAGGTCGAAAATTCGACTTCCGTCGAATTTTACGATGTAGACAATTCGAAAAATCGAAATCTTTCGAACCTTTCGAACCGCTTGATTCGATCATCGAAACTTCGATTCGAAAAAAGTTCGCGGCATCCCTAATTAGAACGCAGTCAGCAACTTATGCCTCAACTATGGCCGCCAGTGCATACTGAAACATTTCGGTCCTTAAGCCTGGTTCAGACAGTTGTGTTTGGCTGCGTTTGACTGCGTTGCGGCAGCGAGAAACCAGGACATCCCTGTTGCATATGGCGTACCAAGATGATTCCTTGAATTGGAGTCCACGCTTCATACGAAGCACAGATGTGCCGGTGACTCGCTTTCGGTTGTCGACGCAACGCAGTCAAACGCGCCCAAACGCAAGTGTCTGAACCGGCCTTAAAGGGCCCATGAAACAATTTTTGGGTTGGGATAAATAATTTTAGATTGGGATTTTACTAATAGCACATCGTTCAGTGGACCAAAAGAAAAAAGGTAGGAAGTCAAAAGCCTGACTTTCAGTTCGAAAATTTGAAAACGGAGCGGACTATTTCGTACCTCCTCCCCTTCGCAACCTCTCTGCCTTTTCACTGTGATACATCCGCGGTCCCAAAAGCGCGTCATCGGGTCCAAACTGACGTCACACGCAACCGGACCTCACTTATTCCCTTCACCCCTAAGCTGATATTGTGGTGGAAGCTACGCGCTTGCCGGACCAATCAGCCGCCTCCCTTTCATCACCTGACTTCATTCTCTGCAGCCACATTTACCACGCTCACGTAGCGAGTGTGGCTGGCCCAAGGAGCACGTAGCTTCAACAGCACTGTCAGCTTCGGAATGAACGAGGTGGGGAAAGTACTTTTGTCTGAATTTTGAGCGACGGGCTAATCTTCTAGGGGGACAATGGCTCTGTCCGGTTACACAAACTAGATTCCGAGCGAGAGGGGCCTCTCCTCTTTTCGTCTTCTTTAAAGGGACACTCAAGCGGTTTTTGGAGAAGCTACTTTTTGGTGCGATGGTGTTAAGGAAGTGTCAGTGAATGAGTATCTTCAGTTTTAGAAGGCAGAAACGCCTATTAATCACGCAGGAATAAAATACGTGCGGACTCTTTTCTGTACTTGCGAGGACCAATGAAATTATCGTATGTTTGAAAATTTTGGCGGTCTTTTTAAAGTTTCGCTAAAAAAACAATTTTCAGTTCATTTAAATATGTTGTGCATGATAATTTCACAAGACGTAAAATATTTCTAGTTTAGAATACGCGATAGCGCAATTATCGTTTCACAAACAAAGGACTACGTTTTCTATTTGCCTTCCTCCGCGGGGGGTGAATTTCCCGTTCCCCAGGATGCGCGGAAGCGCACGTATCTCCGCGCGTTGCAGGCCGGGCCGGCTCCTTCTATCCGCAAACGTGGCGTCGGTGGTGATCGTCGGAATGGACGGCCTGGTGAAAGCTCATCGTTCCGCGTAAAAGCGCTATCCTTGACTGTGAATTTTCGTCGTGTTTCGCTATGATAACCCAGCACGTACTAGAAGGGAACATCCACCTACTTGTGCGGCGATGTCGTGGCGGCACTCTCAAGACAGCAGAAACGCCCGTGCCGTCGTGTTTGTTTACTTCGACTACAGTGGTGCTTTCTAAGCATTTGTGTCCTCGAACATCGCCCGGATTTCTGATTTGGCGCATTTCATGCGTGTGCTCAAGTTCAAGGTATTACTGGCGCGTACCGTATAAAGGATACGAATTTTCACGCGTTTTCATCACCGGAGAAAAGTGATTAGTGTTAGCAATCCTGAACGCTCGCAACGTCTATCTGATCACAAAATCATATTTCTACGTTGCTATATCGCTGCTAAGATTACATTGTCTTTTATAATCGTAGAAAAGGCGTGTGGCGATATTTGTACTATTGCAATGTCGTGTATTAGAGTCGTGATCGTCCAAGACGGCGCTGCATCTTTTTATTTTATTTTTTTCATTCGCTGTACCCTGCAAGCCTATCAAGAAAAAATAATAAAGCTTTAGACTAGAAAACTGTCTGTCTATATTCTGTTACGGCATTGAGTAGCAGTGCGTCCCCTTTTTTAGAGGGGCCGCTGACACAGCTGACGGCAGCGTACAGAAGCGGTCGCCGTGCTGACGACCCGCTGCGCTTGTTGTAGTGGTTACAGGTGTGTGTACGCGCGGCGCAGTGCGGTCGTTCCGGTCGCTCCGGTTGCAACGGACGCAGTCGTAGGTACGCGCTCGTTGCACATGTCTGAACCAGCCTTCCCCCCGTACTCCCGAGGCGAAAGTCAACGTGGCGACATCGTTTGACATCACGTACCAGAGGTAACGCTGCGATGTCAAACGTTGGTTTGGTTACGACTTGCCCCAACCGCAAATCGAAGAACGCCCGAAAACGTCTGCGTTTCGTTGTCCTCGGAACCCGAACATGACTCCGAAGCGCTGCTATCGTCCACATCGCACGTCGGAGTGGCGTCATAGGAAATCATCCCCAGGTCGGCTGTCCGCCGAAGAACTTCAACCTCTAACGGCGTCAGGTACTCGAGCGTAGAGAACTCCGCCATGATCGAAGCTCGAATGACAAAGAGGTTCGGCCGATGCGGCTACCTCGGGATCACTGCGCGACGGAACGTCGTCCAACGCCATTGGCCCGAGATCCTTTTGATAAGCGTGCGACGACCAATGAGAGTGGTTTCGTTTTCGGATGGATCCGAGGTTTGGCGGCCTTCAATTACATTTTTATTAAAGAAATAATCACCGTATGACTATACTTTTTGGTTTTTAGGGATACTTAAGGCGTCTAAATTCAGCTGTCATTATCAAAACACGAGCTCAAAAACCACTTGACTGCCCCTTTAACTGTTTGGTGGAATACGCGATTTATGAGTTAAGGAGGAAAGCTAAACAGGAAAAAGTTGGAAAAGCGTTTCATGACCCCTTAAGAAGGTCCGCTCCGCACTCTGGGATAGCGGGCCTCGCAAGCGCCGTTTGGGGGCCTCGAAGCATCGTGCATATGTCCTTAGTTTACAACACAGTTTTGTTTTTGCGAACATATACATGCAAATACAATATTTTCTTAGTGGGAAACACGTATCATATCTCATAACTGTTTGGCTCTGTTGTAACAATGCCATGATGCCAAGTTATAAAGTACTTTCTATATTAGGCAGTCAGCAACAAGGGAGCCCCCTTGGACAAATGTTGGGGCTTCATCGACGGCACGGCCCGGCCTATATGCCGTCGTCCATCAAAGGACCAAAAGCCATATTTTTCTGGCCACAAGCGAGTACACGTCGTGAAGTGTCAAGCCGTGATGTGCGCTAATGGCATAATCTGCCAGCTGGACGGACCCTACGAGGGCCACAGGCATGATGCAGGTAGGTTGAACAGTCCTTCTGCTTTCTTTCTGCCTGGGAAAATAGTGCAACGACTGAGCGAACCACATTGAATCTTATCTAAGCCTTCCTACTGGACAAACTACTTGTGCACTATATATAGGCACACATACAACTACTTTAATATAATATTATACACTACCTTGCTAGTGCCATTTTAGCTCTCTCAAGTGCGCGCGCGATAATTGCCTCGAATATCTGTCATTCCTGTCTTCAACACTGTGGACATGACCGGCAGGCCGGGCCCAGTTTCCATTGGACTGTCAAGTGCATAGATGACAGAGCCCTATTCGGTTAGAGGATAGCTCTGTCTAGAATGAGAAATTCAGACATCGCCAAGAGAGGCGGCCGCCAAAGGTGGGGAAAGGAGCAGTCAGGACCAAGCTCAAGCGGCCGAGCTTCAAAACGTTCTCTCTCTCTCTCTCTCTCTCTCTCTTTCTTTCTTTTCTCTTTTCTTGCTGGAGAGAAGAAAGAAAACGCCGCAGTGTTCCATGCTCCTAAGCGCGTCCGAAGCCGCCGCCGCACAGTGTTGTGCGCTTGGTTCCAGGCTCACACACAAGGGGCTCTGTGCTGCGTGTTCCGCGCTCTTCTTTTTCTCCGTCCGTGCAATTTGTTGCTCCGTCGGGGAACTGCCAGAGTTTCTCCATATAGACCGACACGCGGAGCGGCTCTGTTTACCAACACGGCCGAAAGGCCGCGCATGCGCGGTAGCTATGTGGGCAAAAGCATCCCGGCTCTCCGTGTTTTCGCCATTGCGCTCTATGGCGTGCGCTCGTTGTTGACGTTGTAGGGACGCTTGTATCTTTATTTGTGCGTCGTATTTCTTCATAACGTATGTCGTATGCTATGCCCGACTATTTGAGCTCGTTGCCCGAGCCTGAACGGTAGCGGTATAGAAACAAACTGCGTGGACGGCGTTGCCTACGAGGATCCGTACGCCGTAAACAGTGCTGGACTTCCGACGTAAAGTTGCTGCCACGGAAGTCGACGGCTCAGGTCGTCGTTTATTTAGTTTTCGCCAAGTCAGTTTACGGCCGACACGGTGCAGGCCTACAAGTCTCTCGAGGCCTACGATTACATCGAGTCGGTTTCCGCACTGCCGGCGGGATGAGCAGACTGTGGGTCTGCGGAAGTGTGTGTATTCATTAACTGATTAAATACACAGAGCGTCTTCAAGTCAAGGTATGATATTTTTCATACCCTCGTGACCACAAGGCATTACAACCAGTAAAGGTTTGTCCGTTCTGCAGTCTTGGCGGTAACAGGTTACAAGTAACGGCGTTACCAGGAACGCGTTACTTTTTTCAGTTACGTAGTAACCTACTCGTTACGTTTTTGACACAGTAACGGGTAACGTACTTATGTTACCATTTCAAGTAACGTAGTTACGTTATTCGTTACTACTTTTTAAGCCTTAAAGAAATTACACTTCAATTGTTTCCGTGTTTTAGGCGTCAAGCCATGTTTTCTTTGCGTTTTTTCTCGTAATATTTAGGTGAAACCGTAAAAAGAGATAAAATGTTTATGTTCAGCTTCTGCTTGATATATGACCTGTATCGTCAAAACCGTAAAATGTGTTAAATCGTAATTTAAAAAAATTAACGCAGAAGTAACGTGCCTTACTTTTTATCGGAGCGGTAACGCGTTCCTTTTTTTTTAGATAACGTAGCTCAGTAACGCGTACCTTTTATTCGCAAGTAACGAGTGACGTATTTCGTTACTTTTTTTCGGTAACGCCTACAACACTGCCGTTCTGTCGCCGATCCCCTTCTGCTCGGTAGCACGTGCGTAGCGAGCCTCCGACGAGCGCTTGGCCGGTGCGTTGTGCGCGAACACCATGGGAACAAAATCCGGGTGATCTCGATCAGACAACGGTTTCCCTGCACATAAGCAAGCCTCGGAACGGAGATTGAAATGGAAGCCACACTTGCCCCCAAGAAAGTGTTTGCCGCACAAACGGTCGTTCGCGCGAGGCGACCATTCTTTTCGATCCACGGATATTATCCACCTTCTATGCCTTTCAGAGTCTGCCGGGAACTTGTGGAAACTCACTCCGCGGCTTTTCTTGTACATTTCGGTGCAATTACCGGCAACACAGCTTCGCGACATGCTGAAATGCTATGACGCCCATGCGAAACGTGCGCGCTTTTGCCCACACCCCCCGGCTCCGGCGCGATCGCAGCGCCGCCGCAGCTCCGTGACGTCAAGCCCGCGTGTCGGTGTATAGAGGAGGCTATGGTTAGGGCCACTGTTCTAGACCCCCTACTTCTCAGTCAAAATCCAATTGCAATGACGCTACTCCGAAACGTAATTAATCTTGTTGTTTAGTATCCAAATTTCGATCAGTGCAGTAAAGGTGAAAGCTTCATCAAGCAAGTGATGAGAAGTCCCGACTTTAGTACTTTACAACTTCAGTAGATGCGGACAGAAATAAATTATTTCAGACATGTTGGGTTGTAGTTTCAAGTGCAAATATAACTTATATACATACGAACTAGGGTGATTTGTCGTTTATCCGGGGATGTGTCACTTACCGGACTTACAGGGATACACCTGAGTGAAATAGATGCTCGCGAGTATGTAACCGTTGCGCCATGTACTTGACGAGTTTGTTTGCAGATCGTTTAACCAGAAATATTTCCAGCTCTCGTGAAGAACACCATGCATGTTAGCTGAAGAGAGTGCTATAGGGCTGCCTCTGAACACTTCCTGTAAGCCCTCCTCGTTAATGGAAGTGCATCGCATAAACCGTCAAGAGTGCGAAACAAGAATCTGAGAGGTGGGGTGAAAGCGCTCGGTTCACAACTTGCGCCCTCTTCAATTTAGGTGCGACTTTTAAACCATTGAGCTAAACAGGTGGGCACGCGAAAGAGAGTTTTAAATCTGTGAAGAGGTGAGGAAGCGATGGAGAGGAGAACAAGCGCTTGCTTCAAAAGAAACGACCAGACACAAGGTGGAAGTTGTCGTGTGCGACAATTCAAAAGACGCGACCATCACGTTCCACTACCGCTCGAACGCTATGTTTCGCAGGGCATTCATGCGGAGACTCCGTTTCGAAGAAGCTGATGGCAGGCGCCCAATATAATACATCGTATGATGCCTCTGCCTTTTCACAATACTAGGGGAAAGGGGAACTTTTCACGACAGTGTCAGCATTCTAGAACCACGAGCGAAGTTAATTAATCTGGAAAAGCCTACCTACAGTAAATACACACTGTCTAACAGACAACAAAGTTGCCTAGGTGTAATATCATGTTGTGCCTTCTGCGGTGTCCACAGTACTTTCAGCGCAACCGTCTCGGCAAAAAAGCTTCATTTCGAGATGCATCACATGTCATGTTACATTTGCAATTTAGTTTAGAATGGCTTCTTCCTTTGCAGGTATGCTGCGCATCAGTGGTTTACACGAGAAAATGGAAACACTCGTGCAGGACCACTCCTTCGTTATTTATGGTGACCCCGCGTATCCAATGATGCCCCTTCTCCTCAAGCCTCACAGGGGAACTGTGCTCACACCACCAGAGGTTAATTTCAACAAGGCTATGAGCACCGTACGTCAGGCTGTTGAGTGGGGATTCGGGAAAGTGTTAACTGAGTTTGCCTTTTTAGACTTTAAAAAAAACCAGAAGCTTCTTCTACAACGAGTTCCACTGATGTACAAAGTTGCGACAATCCTGGCAAACTGCCATACATGTTTATACGGCAGTCAAGTCACAAAGTATTTTCATGTTGACCCGCCCACATTGCAGGAATACTTGAAACCACCTGTTCTGCTGCAGTCTTAATCTCTAGTGTCACAGGTAGCTTTCCATTGTCATCTGGGTTAGAATACTGACATCCGGTCGTGTAAATAATGGAGCGGGATGCACGTAAAAAATATCGGGTTAGCTCTTCGAAAGCATCGGCACTAGAACCCCTTGTAGAATGAGTTGTGGCCCTTTCTGAAGCCGTCTATGCCATAGACAATAGATTATGTTTTAAGGCAGACCTTTTATGTCTATACATTCCTGCGTTCAATTCTTTTGGTTATTCGCGTTTATCACTGACCAAGTGCGTCGTCATTTTTGTTTGTTTTCAAAATGTCTGAACTGCGGAGTTTTGGACATTGACTAGAACACACTTATTGGTCTGCCTGTAGTCGTCTGTTTCTATAGTTTGCATGTCATGCAATTTGTTATATGTGCGAGGATTTGTTTACTTCTTTAGGAGATAAAGCGTGTACATATGTCACACTGTACTTAATGATTGTAAAAACGTCCCGCAGCAGGCTCCGCATACCGGCTGCCTCAATCACCGTACCATATTTTTAAAGCACTTTTTTCTCATCAATTCAACATTTTATTCTCAGATAATTGGTCAAAATATTAAGTATAATTTCGTAGATATTTCTGCCAGAAAACTACTGTAATATATTACATTACAGCAGTGCTTGTTCATATTGATGTAATGTTCCCCTTTTTAAGACGTTGCTCATAAGAAGTATGCATGTAAATACTTTGAAAATTGCTAGGCCGATTATTTGTATAAACTGAAAATGCAAACAGAACTGGAAATTATTTTTGCATAGAAATCTCTTTTTTTTGTACTGTTTTACGGTAGTTCAATTATGAAATGAAGTGTTTTTTTTTATTTTTGTAGTTTATTTCCGAAACACCTCTTTAGCGTCATAGCCATCTTTTGTTCTGTTGTGTGAGGGCAATAATAAAATGAGTGCGTCTCTTGAATGTTTTCAGTTTATTTCCTCAGTGCATTGCTTCAGTCCACATTCTGTTTAAGTGTTACCAACACTTAAATCGCAGTTAACATGCTTCATTTAGTGCTTTAAACTGAGTCGGAGCCGCGTATCCTAGGATGAAATAATGTGCAAAAAAAAAATAAGAAAAAAAGGAACACACTTGCTTTCGAGTTGTCATGTGAGTGCCCAATCTGCCTCTCACACACTGCCCTTAGATGATACGTTTATCTCAAAATTGCCCCCCCCCCCTTCCTCCCCTGGACACAGTCCTTATACAAAAATAACATCGCGAATATAAAAGCTACCGAACTTGTTACTTTGCGTTCAGCTTAAGAAGGAGCTGGATTTGGAGCTCCTGCTGTGCAGCCAGCACACGCCTTTCTTCTGCTGCTGCCCGTCGCTCCTCCAAGTGGACTCTGCGCTCGTCCGCCTGCTGCTGCCTCTCCTGTGCCTGTGCCCGTCTTTCCTCGGCCAGCGCTTCCCGTGCTTCTGCGCGGCTCTGTGCCTCTTCGTAGTACTTCATTTCTTCAAGGGCCATCCGCCTCTCTTGAAAGGCCATGCTCCTTTCATCAAGAGCAAGACGTCGGTCCTCCCTTGTCAGCTCCTGCTCCGCCCGCCGTTCTAGAAAGTCCATCTCAGCCGTCTGCTGGCTCTTTTTGCCTGCGCGCAGAAAGTAGTGATTCAGGGGTACTTTGTTGAAATCACTGTTTCATGATTGCGCCATACATAGCATTTGAAACCATAAGTGTATTGACTTTGTACCTCCAAGTTTTACTTAAATTGCAAGATTATCCGTCAGCATACTCATAACGAGCTCGTTTTTAAACTATTCAGTTGCACCAATAACGAGCACAGTAAGAAAAAAAATGTACATTTGCATGGTTGTGTATCTAGTGAAATGTATAAGTGTAATGAATCTTTGACGTTCATAATTATTTGAGGGAGAAAGCGTTAGTTTTCCTCTCCCCGCACTAGCAGTTGCTGATAAAACAAGCGGCTGTCGCCGCTCGTGTGATCTGGTGCGGTTCTTGTACGTTGCCAATATTCGTCATAGCCACGCGATAAAGTTGGCAATATATATGGCACGTGCTCTACACCGGCCATGGTTGGAGCTTGGCCACCTTTGTAACCACAGTAATTGGACGTAACACTAGCCCGAATGTTCACGAGGCATTCGTTGTCGTCCGGACCCAGCAGGTGACGATGCTGTACACTCGCCCAACCTACGAGTGACCATCAGCTGACGTATATGTCAACACTAACGGTGGCTTTGACGCGTCTTTTTTCTGAACGTGCGCTCGCGATAGGAAGACATGTTTGAATGCAAAGAATGTGGGCTAGGGCGAGCTTACGTAGTTTGCTGCATCATGATTTGCGAAGACGAGAAGAAAATAATTAGTCAGCGTATACTCTTGAAATTAGACATCCATGGAACATGTGGCTCATTACCCCATTGAAAAATCTAATTTGTATGAGAAATTTGTGTGTCCAATAAACACATCTGATTCATACAAGATATATAAGAACAGATAAAAACCATAGGAGAACTATATAGAAATTATATAAGATACATAAGAACATATAAGAAACTTATGAGAAGTTTCTTATAAGTCTCTTATACATCTTATATAGTTGTTGTATGGTTCTTATATGTTCTTATATAACTTGTATGATCCATATGTGTTCATTGGACACAAGAAATTTCTCATACAAATGGTTTTTTTACCAGGGTAGCGTAACGTACGAGCGTGCTTCTGTCACGCTTGGGTTGGTGTACACAATACGCTTGTGTAAAGTACCTAAAATTGAAGCTCAAAATGATTTCATCTCCCCTTTAAGTCATCTTCACTATAAAAAGGGTACTGGTGATGTTATGGTCCTGTGGTTGGATGTATCTTTCTACACTTACGCGTTGCATTCGCCGTCCTTCTGGATTCGTCATGGCCTGATGCAGCAGCGGTAGCGCTGGCAGAGTCGTCGAGCGCAGCATGGACCTCGCGTTCCTCGTCTACTCCGTCATAGGCTTGTAGTAGCAGCCTTTGGGCTTGCGATTCATCTTCAGCAGAGGATGGCGTCACTACAAAGAAAACGCTTAAATGAAAAGTACATCCCACAGAAGTCAGTCGCGCAAGTAACTAAAGCAGACGTCATTGTAAATACAGCTAATTGAGACTTGTAGATTTGTGGTTTATTTTATAAGCAATGCACAACCTGCTGTAAAGCAAAAACTTCAAAGCTACTTGGGTAGGCGTGCTGTATAGATTAACGAATAATTGAATATTAAGCGGGGGAGAGTGATAAAAGAACGTCAAGGGCCTGTTAGGAATGGATTGCTTCCAGCTTTACATAAGGCGGGAACTTTTGTACCAACCGGCTTCACATGTTTTTCATAATTGCATGCTTAATGGCGTGCTGATAGTCAAAATATAATCCCTATGACGAAAGCTAAATCACTGCAGCACATAACTAAAAAGGTAGGCCAGCTTGATCACGCTGACAAATGCCGGGAAACCACAGAATATGTTGAGCTAGGTATAATGGCCACGAGACCCAGGATATTATGGCCACGTTATTACCCGACCACAATCGTTCCACTACTTTTAGCATTGTCCTGTGGTAGGTGGGACCCCACTAACCATGGTCAGGTTACCATGTGACCACCATTTGACCGTGATTTCAGGCGTGGTGACGAGACGGACAGGACCGCGCGGAGAATGGTCACGCGACCGCCCTTGGACAATGGTAACGTGACCCCATGGATTTTGGTCACGTGAATATTTGACCACCATTTGCCCGCAATTTCCAGCGTGGTCACGCGATACAAGTGTCGGCACGTTAATGGTCACGTGACCGCCCATTGACCATATGGTCACGTTTCCTCACGGATCATGGTCACTTGACCATGAGACCACTACTTGCCCGCTATTTCCGTTACGGTCCAATCAGGCGGTCAAGAATCGTGAAAACCGGTGTTATAACGCGTTCTGTGATCAAGAAACCCCGAAATCACAGCGTTAATTGTATTAGGGGCAAAGGGGCTAGGCATGTCCGTACGTCCGTCCGGCGTCGGGTGCTCGTGCTCCTGCTCGTGAGCTCACGTGCTCACCTGCTCGTGTAGGGCAAAAAAAAAAAATGAAAAAAAAGATGAAAAAAATTATGAAAAAAAGAAGAAAAAAAGTAGGGGGTTCTGAGATGCCATCACATCTGTCTTCTTAAAAAAAGAAAGAGAAAACCACAGATTCTCCTACTGACATGAACGAAAACGGCACCATCAGCACTACCTATGGCCAAAATCAGTATCATCAGCACCACCCGAGCTTCGCCCCTATCAACATCATTCACCACGTGGAGATGCGGTCATTGTTTTGAAATGCGAAGCATTTCTAGAGAACTGATCAACCAACCATAAGGTCAACAAACCGGGAGAACAAACCGGAGCGAGAGGATGTTGTTGGGAACTAGAGAGTGGGTGGAGGCTCTAAGAGGTAAGGCGGGGGAGGAGAAAGGGTGAGTTGAGAGGGAGGTGAACGGACTGGGAGGTCCCCACCGATCAACAAAATCGGAGAGGAGGGGTAGCCAAAAAATGCTTCGGATTTAAAGCAGTGTCGCAACGGGGTCACCATCTGTTACACTAAATTGTATTTACCACACTCCTCCAGGCTTTCATTACGGCCGGTTGCCGGCATCGATGGCGTAGAGGCGCAAACAGTGGCTGCAGTTCTTGCTGCCTTTGCGGCACGAAGCCTGGCAGTAGCTGAGGTCCTTCCTCTTATAAGGCCCATTAGAGCACTTCCTCCTGTGGTCTGTTTCCTTGGCATGGTCTTTGTGCGGTGCCCTAACTCCCTTGCCAGGTCGGAGACCTCCTGGAGCAGCTGCTCTTTTTCCCCGTATTGTTCTTCGGTGCCTGACCTAACGGAATGAATAGGACATAAAATATTATTAATAGATCGGCTACTGGGCACTACCATTCGGCTCGCGCGATCAAAGAAGTATGTCTGTGCACAAAGCAAATTGAAAAAGAGTGATACTGTTAAAAAGGTAAGAATAGAC